AAGACGTGTTTAGTTCATAAATTTCAGTAGAGATTTATAAAGAAAAAGTGAAAAGGTGAGTGATCACACACCTTTTATAACTATTTATCTTTTATTCTTTAAATTAATGAACCAAACACAATCCAAAAGGTCTGATATTCATACCTCCTTCATTTTTTGGAGTACAGACAGAATTGCCAATTGACCCCCATTATGCTTCAAATCTATTCCAGACCAAAGCGAAAGCTCTAACTGCACTTTCAACGTCTTTAAGCAACTTAGCAAGTAAAATGAATAAAAAGCTCCAGTAACATTAAAATTTGAAATTATCATTATATATATTGTTATAAAATAAGTAAAATACTTTTTGGAGTAGGGTTATTATTTGACAACCTGTTTGGCCAGAGAGCATTTTATTAGGAAATGAACCCAGAAACTAGTAGCAGATCATATCATGTTTGGCTTTTCCCAAAAAGTGCTTCTTTGAGGTATTTAGGGATTTTCTTTCTTATTATATCATAACCAACACTAGAGTTGCATTATGAGCTAAAGCATGATTTCAAAATCAGGAGTACTCTTGATGGATTTCCATAAAAGTTTGAAGGAAATTAAATCAAGAGTGCTCGGTTGAAAAATTGAATTTTGGATTTTCCTTGTCCATAGATCCATATGCTAATTTATTGGGAGCATCTATTTGCACACACTCAATCCTCTACTTACACATCTTTCTTAATACACACACCTAAAAAAATAAAAAATAAAATATATACTCATTCCACACACTCTTGTTCCAATTTTATCCCTCAATCCACACACCTTCCGGACCTTCCAAACCGGTGACCACTGTGTACCTTTCAGACCGGAAAACACCTCGCCGGCGGAGACGCAACACCATCGTTTCCACCTCCCTTCCAGTCGCCATTCCCACCCCTTCCTCCACCCACCGGCGACACTACCGCGACGCCCACCCCATCCCCTCGATCTCCCTCCCTCTCCTCTCGCAGTCGCAAAAAGGGGCTGCGGCGGGGTGGAAGCTGAGGGTCGCGAAAAGGGGGCTGCCATTCCCACTCCTTCCCAAATCTAGGTTCTCCTCTCTCTCTCTCTCTGTGCAGAATTGAGGGTCGCGAAAGGGTGGAAGCTGCGGCGGCGGTGGTGTTGTGTCCCGAAGTGAGGGGTTACGGGGGTGGCGGGGAGGGTGAGTGAGCGACGAACAATGGGGTAGGGTGGAGCTTCAATTCGAGAAAAAGGAGGCTGTAGGGAGGCGACGGAGGGAGGAAGGAGATGACTGGAGGGGAGGCACTGTGTTGGGCATTAGGGTTAGGGTTAGGGTTTTGGTTGGAGAAGAAAGGGATATTTTGGTAATTTTATTTTATGATAAAAATGTAATAAAAAAAATATCATTAAGTGTGTGAAGAGAGAGGAAGTGGTGTGTGCAAATAGAGGCTCCCTAATTTATTATGTCCATAAGGGCAATCTATCGCACAAATGACCAAAATGCCCCTACATTACCTTCGTTATCTCACACGGTTTAGATTTCATGTCTTCTCATCTTTCTCTCTATGCTCAAAACACAAAACCCTCTCTCTCTCTCTCTCTCTCTCTCCCTTTAGATCTCGCATTCGTCTTTACCTCCACTCCGACAGTCGGTAACGCCACTGTCAATTCAACGACGGTTTCCGACTCCTTCGTCACAGCCTTCGGAGATCATCGAAGCCACCAAAGACCTGAAGAAGAAGAAGAAGAAGATCTAAAGCTCACCTACAACTCTCCCCACCATCGTCTTTACGTTGTATTCTCGTCGTCGCCGACCCGACGCCAACATCTACAGATCTGTAGATTGGCCTACCCTAACCCTAGATTTAGACCACCACCGTGGTCTGGTAGTGAATATGAAGACGAAGATGAATAGTCCGATGATGATCTGGTTTTATACGGTTAGAGAGATTGGGTTTGGATTCGGAAATGGTTGAGAAGGAAAGGGAAATCTGGAGATCTAGTTCTATACTATATATGTATACATATATGTGTGTGTATGTTATTATATTTAAGAATAGTACATTAAGGAGTTTTTATGTGTTACATTAATTGGAATGTTTTATTTGAAAAAAATACACTAAAAAATTATTTTGAAATATTATGTTGTTACGTTTTAAAAAAGTACATTAAGTAATTTTTTTAGTGTGTTACATTAAGAGATGAGTAATGCTAGAGAGCCCAAATATTCTACCAAAAGTTTTATCAAATGTTACACAATGTGGGTCCCATGTGGGTACATTTGGTAAAACTTTTGGTAGAATTTTTGGGACCTCTATCATTTTTGTTAAGAGATTATGTTTGGAAAAGGTACATTGAGCTATAAATGTAAATTGAAAAAAAAATTAAAAAAAAATGGTATATGAATCTACTTTTTAAATAATTTTTCATACTTAATGATGTATGAAAAAGATGATTAATTGATAATTAGAGAAAAGAAAGACCAAAGAAAGATAGTTTGCCTTAAATATTCTAATAAACTATTACATTATTAAGTTTGAAAAATAAAATTAATTTTTTAATTAAAGTAACACTACTAAAAAAAAAAAAAACTTTAAATATGAATATTAAACTTTTAAAGTTTAAATACTTATAAATATTTTTGAACAAGAACATATCACTACTTTTTTCTAATTATTTTAAGATTGCTTACCTAACAAAATCTTCATTTATTATATTTTGTATATATAATTTTAGTCTCATTTTACAAGAGTTAAATTGACTAGTCTTCGTTTGGTATTGACTTTTTTAGTTAGTTTGTTTGTGTTGGAACTTTTTTAACCTCGTTTGGTTTGGCTTTTTTGACTTTTGTGAGAGAAAAAAGGGTAATGATTATAGTTTAAATGTGATATTTTCTCTTATTGGCTTATGTAGCCAATTTTATCTTTTTATGCTTTTTTTAACCAAAAATCAAATGCCAAATGAAGCTTAAATAAACATAAAAAGATAAAATAGACTAAATAAGTTAATCAAACAAAATATCACATTCAAACCATAATTATTTCACTTTTTCTCTCACAATCATTACGTCGAAACCAAAAAAGACCAAAAGTTATTCCTAAATGAAACTACTTTAGCCAAGTTAAATTAGCTTAAAAAATCAGACTAAATTAGTTTTCCCTAACAGAGATTTAAATGAGTTATTTTTTTGAGTAAGTAATTTAAATGAGTCATACTAATGAAGTAGATAGAATATAAAACATTGACACTGGTGTAGGGATTAAAGTAAGATTGGAGTAAAAATGTAAATGAGTTGATTGTCACGATTTCATATATAGGGACTAAAGTAGAATTTGACTAAAAGTGCAGAGGATTGACTGTCATGATTTCATATGTAAGAACCAAAGTGAGATTTGATGCAAAGTATAATTTACCCATATTAAAAACACTCAATATCATTTTATATATTAAACACACTTTTACATGTTCTTACATAAGAAATTGACACACACAATTTAAATTTCATAATTCTATTAATAATAACATGGCTAGTTGTGTTACTTTTTTATTTTTTTACAAATTTAATTGAGTAATGTTAGAAACTCCAAATATTTTACTAAAAGTTTTACCAAATATCTCACATGGGTGTGGGACCCACATTGGTAGAACTTTTGGTAGAATTTTTGAGACCTCTAACATTTTTGAATTTAATTATATAAGAGTCAATGCTATTGCCATGTCATTATGGATGAATTGTAAAATTTAAATTATGAATATCTAGAATTTTTTATTTTTAAATATTACAAATATTTTTTATACATAAATTAAGATCAATAATCATTAAGGCCATTAATATGTTTAAGACTAATTACACTAAGACTCCCTCAACTATTACCAAATATCACATTTACTCCATTTATGAATCAGTACATATTAATCCCTCAATTATGACAATCGTATAAATACATATCTTTTGAAGATGGTATAAAAGGGGTCTGTGTGCAATAAAAGTAGGGGCGGATACCTCGAGTCAAGCCAGACCGGGTTTGGACTGAGCTTGTACAATACAGTAAAAGGATATGTGTCATTCTAAAGTTAGCCCGAACTGAGGTTGAGTCTAATCTAGCCATCCTAAACTCAATCTTCAAAACATTTCAAATCTCAAACTCGTCCACTTAACCAAATAGATATGAGTTATTAATTTATTTTATTTTATTTTATTTTATTATTTTTGTCTTGAATGGATATTAAATTATTTAGATTTCATTTATTATTTAAATTTGAAATATTAGAAAAATTCAATAATAAAATAAATATATATTTTAACAAATGTTTTAAAATAAACCTAGAATATATATATACATTTATTAATTTTTTTTTTACATTTTTTTCTACTTTAATTTATAATTAAAATAATATAAAATTATAATTTTTATATTATAAATTTGCAGATTGAGTTCGATTGGACTATAAACTCTCTATCACAACTGCAAACCAAGTATTAAATCAGCACAAAATCTCAATTCAGCCCTAGGCTTTTGGGCAAAACAATTTTTTCATAATCTAAAAATATCAAATTAGGCTAAACTGATAGTCACTCCTTGATATATTTTTGTAATTTAAATAGGTCAAAATATATAAATTTATAAATAAAAATATAAAATACAAAATAAAATTTATTAATAATCAAGAGAATTTTGATATAAATAACTAATATTAACGGTTGACACAATTGATGCGTGTGTAATTCAAATAAATAAAAATAAAATAAAATATTTATTATATATTATATGCTAGTCAAACAGTAAGAGTATTATTCATTTGACATAAATCTAAGGTTTAAATCCTCACATTTTTTTTAAATAAAAAAATAGACACGTAATAACATAAAAAATCAAGATTTCAAGTCATCATAAGAAATATTCACTTTATATATTGTATAAATATTTATGAATATGAATTATACATAACATAATAATTTTGGATTAACGGTGTCTTTATTATTTGATACTAGTTTTGCAGACAACTAGGCAAAGCACCCAACCCAACCGCTTTATTGAGATTTCACCATTTTCTCCTCTGAAATGACTCTCTTCTCTCTCTCTCTCTCTCTAGATAGAAGATATACAGATGCCTCACTCCCTATATCGAGTTGATCGTTTACGAGTAATCGGCCTCTGCAAAGGTATGATTTTTCAGTAGAAATCTTCAACATCGTCACCGATCATCCTTTCATTATCTGTTACCGTGAAATTTCATGTTTTTTCATATAATTTTCTTATGTGCCTTTTTATTCGATTGTGTTCTTGTTTAATTTGTTCATCGATTGTATGATCATTATATATTTTCTCATTCTGATTTGCATTTTTGGTTGATCAATGGTTTCTTTTGAGAAACTTCGTTTCTGTGTAGCGTGAGATGTATATATATGTGTGCGTGTGTGTGTGTGTGTTCGTCCTGTTTTAAGACTAGTTTTTTTTTTCCCCCGATTCAGTTGATAAAAAGACATGTAATTTGTGGTTTAGATTGCTGATCAAACACTCATTTTTAATCATGTTCTTAGGTTTTTTGAGTATTTGACTGTGTTAAATTTATGACCTACACTCAATGGTTCAGGTTGCCTTCGTGGGCAACCTTTTCTGTCTCTCAATTCATCACATGTTGAAATTGTGTGACATTGAAATTCTGTTGAAATTCTCTTCAGCATCTCTATTGAATGGAAAAGTTGTTGTTGTCTCCAGGCTCTCCATTGGTTTAGAAACTAATATAAAATAATTGAATTTTATAATTAGTTAATTGAAAATGAACATCACTGATAATTGGTTAATTGGTTAATTGAATTTTCCAAACTTTGAACATCACTGATAATACCCCTATCAGGGAAAATTAATTATATAATTAATTGTTTATCAGTGATGTTCAAAGTTTTATAATTGGTTAATTGAAAATGAAAACTTAATTTAGTAGCCTTTGATGTTCAAAGTTGCTGAATAAAATAATTTATTAATAGAAAAGTTTATTGATTATAGTTATCAGGTTTGGTTATGGCTGGCAACTATTATTGTTTTTTGCTTGAAAGTACAGGTTAACTTTTCTTTGATCTTACTAGTTTTGCCCTTGCCTATTCCCTTTGCTTTCTTTTATGATTATGCTAGTTCTTTCTAATCCTCTTTTTCCCCAAAACTTAGATTCTTTCGGTCACAGATACATATGTCCACATAAACATAATATTAGCATAAATTCACATGCATATGTAATAGTATTACTTGTTCATGCTTTTTTAATTGTTTATATTAGTCCTTCATGCATTGATTAATAAATACATGGTTTATTTTCTTTCAAGCTTTTTTTTGTTAAACTGTTGTTAGACCATGGATTTGAAAAGCATATTTTGAATGAATTTTTGTTGGTTTTGGCCAGTATATTTGATAATCTTGTGGTCATGGATCCGTCAAGTGATGAAACATTTTTTGTGAGTCCTAATGTTGAGCCCGAATCATCTTCTATTGACCCCTCCACCCAACCTAATCCTCCTCCTCCTAGACCACCCCTAGCCAAAACTAATAGTAGTAGTGGGAGAACAACATCAAAAGCTTGGGATCATTTTGAAAAGATTAATGGCATTGATGGAAAAGATAGGGCTATGTGCAAGTATTGTAAGAAAGAATATATGGCAGGCTCTAAGAGTCATGGAACAAGTAATTTGTTAAGTCATTTGAAAAATTGTACAAAGTATCCATATAGGGATACTCAAGGGCAACAATCATTGGGATTTAAACCTAGAGAAGTTGGTGGGGAGGGAATTGTTGATGTTGTGGCTACGTCATTTTCTATAGAAGTTGCTAAAAGGTATCTTGCGGAGATGATAGTAATTGATGAATTGCCCTTTAGATTTGTGAACGGGGTTGGTTTTAAGAGGTTTTGTAATGTCATGCAACCCAAGTTTAAGATCCCATCTTGACATAACGTTGTTAGGGACATTCTAGACATATACACTAATGAAAGGGAGAGGTTGAAGAAAATTGTGAATGGGCGTAGAATTTGTTTTACCACAGACACATGGACTTTCATACAAAATTTGTGATATATGCGTCTAACTACACATTTCATTGATGATGATTGGAAGTTACAAAAGAGGATCATAAATTTTTGTTGAGTTGAAGACCACAAAGGAGAAACTCTTGGCAAAACGATGGTAAAAAAAAAAAAAACTCAAAACGGAAACACATTTTTTGTGTTTTCATTTTTTGGCCAAATTTATAAACTAAGACCATTGATTTATAAATCAAAAATTTTACCAAACAAGTTTTTATTTGAGTTTTTAAAATTTTTGTAAATATAAATAGAAAACTGAAAACGTAAGTGTTACCAAACGACACCCAAGTGTTTCTCTTATTTATCTTATCACAATTGTGTTGATGGTTCCATTTTCTATAAATCTGTTTCATTTTGATTGTTTGGTTTGTTGATTACACTGGTCATATGAATTCAAGGAATAATCTTTGAGCCAAAATTAAGATCAGTTTTGGCAGTGCTGCTTTGTGTCTTATCTCTTAAACTGCTTTCTCAGCCAAATTGTACAAAATAGGAGAGCGAATTAGCATACTAAATGCAGAAATTGTGTCGTTTTTGGTTTAAGTTGATCAGAACAGGTGTAATCATAGATATATGTAATTTGTATAAGTTGTAATTTTCTGTATGAAGTTTTTATAGAATGCTGTAACTTCATACTGAACTGGAAATCAACTGCCTATTTGACTGTGCTGTTTGTTGTTGTACACCACAGCTATGATGTTAACCGTGGTCTATAACTTCCCTCACTACCATCATCTGGCATGGTTTGGTTGTGTTGTTAATATTGAAAAGCGAAAGTGGTTTTGATTGTGTTAAAGAACATCCTAATCTGATCCTAAGGATTATAATATGGTAATATGCTTTAGCAAGGGATAATTCATTCTTTCAGTTAAAAATTTGTTAAGAAATGGGCAGGAAATGTAAGTAGTGATAAATAGCAATTAATCACGGGGGGTGAATAATAAAGGCAGTCATTTACAGATTTGGATTTGTCTGATCCAATTTGGTCAAGAGTTCAGTAGCCACTGTCTATCTCAGGCTTTGGCACAATTTGATTGAGGAAATCCATGTCTTGCTACCTCCTCTTCAATGGAAGGACCTCTAATATGTGCATGCCAAGGACAGTAATCCAAATTCCAATCGTGTGGATTTCTGTGTATTGTGACACTGTTCTTAGTTGGGAATACATACTCTTACTGATGAATTATGCTAGAAGCATTAAAAAAATATACTAGGGCGATTATTCGGTGCATTGAATTGTTACAATCCTTGTTTAAGCTGAAAAAATAATGTGTTTGATTTATCAAGTAATTGAAGGCTGCTATGGCAGTCAATAGATAAGCAAAGACAGGTAGAAATATTTAATATACCTAGCACCCAAAATTCAAGTGTTTGATTTATCGAGTAATTCAAGATTGCTATTACAGTCCATAGATAAGCGAAGATGGGTAGAAAATTTTAATATACCTAGCATTTATTTGTACTGTTGATGCATTCTTTTATTGAGAAATCTAGTAAACAAAATCTTAATGGTAGGATCGCATGCCAACTAGTAAAATTTTGTCATTATCTTGTACCCACAATTTTATTACTTTGTCAAATGCGTATGGCCCTGGAGGCTCAGAGATCATTCATCTGAAAATGAAATTATGGAGTCTTCACTAAGCTCACACTCTTCCCTGAATTTCCGAAGTCATTTGAATGACAATACCACAATCACGTTTGCACTCATGAATTTGAAAATCTTCTACTTATTTTAAGCAATCATCCTTGTAACGCCCTCAAAATAATAACATTAAACCCATCAAATAAAACATGTATTGACATATAAACTAACCACATTCTTTTATTCATTAGAGTTCTATTACATAAGCATTACATGTTAACATCAAAACAAAATGCCCTACGGACTTACAGCTTTCCAAGTTAACACTTGGTTACAACACAAGAGTACTAACTCGTTTACACATTAAGCCCTTGGCTTGAAGTTACATGTAATACATCAAAAGTAAAACGACAAAAACATGTCCGCCTCTAGCCTCCCAAGCTAAGTCCTTGGAGGTGGCATGCTACCTGTACCTGAAAATGATATTCCCATATAGGGTGAGCCACAGCCCAGTCGAAATACACTAAACCAACCATGGACAATGACTAAAATATTAGCAATTGATAGATGGTCATCACTGATACATTCACATAAATCACATATTTATGTCATACAACTTATGAGTCTAAGTTACTTTTCATTTTCCCTTTTTCAACAGATAAGCATGCTAGCTCTATCATCAGTTCCACAGATATGTATAAAAACTATATCCCACATTCAGATTAGCATATAAGCTATATCCACATTCTTAACAGATATGTATAACAACAATATCCCACATTCACAGATAAGCATATAAGCTATATCCACACTTTACCAAGATAAGCATATAAGCTCTATCTTCACTTCTCTAGACAAGCATATGAGCTGTATCTACGGAGTTCATCCCCTATCTTCTCCCAACACTATCCGGTTTAGAGGTACATCCCCTATCTTCCCCTAAACCGCGGAGTACATCTCCCATCTCCTCCTCTACACATAACGTATACAAACACAGTGGTTCTATATACAATCACTCAATACATATAGTTAATGTACTCTATCAATCGTCACATTCCATGACACACTCCATTGATTAGTTTTAGTTTGCCTAATCATCATGCATTGTCTACAACAATCACGACTATCCTCCACCGATAGCCCAAAGCAGTTATTTCTATACAGAAAATAAATGCACAAATGGATATTCAATCAACATTTCAATTCCTCATTTCTCCCAATTAATTATCCCAATTAATTAAACAATGTAATTAGGCCATTTTCCATAATTACCATTTCAACCCTTAGGTTCCATTTTCATCAATGATTCAACATTAAGTCCATTTCTCTATCCCAAACATGCTTCTAGGTTTATTATGAATAAAATCCCAACTTTTGTAAAATTACACAAAAGCCCCAAACTTTCACAAAATTACCAAAACAACCCCAACATCTCAAAATACCAAAATTTAGAGACAAAACCCATAGAGAGGAGTAGGATATCCCTACCTTGAAGTTTAAGCCAAAAAGGAGATGAAGACTCGAAGATCAACGTGCTCCAGATCCAAACTTTTTCAGATTAAATCGAAGCTCTCAACGCCCTCTATCTTTTTAACAAAGGCCCTAGGCTAGATTCACACCCTAGGGAGATCAAATCTTATCAAATCTTAGAGAGAGTGTAAGTTTAGAGAGAGAGAGTCTCGGATTTAGGTTTTAGAAGAAAAAGAAAGTGAAAAACTGCAGCTCAAACCCGCTGCTGTCCGCTGATATAAAACACGCTCGCTCGAGCGAAGACTTCGTCGCTCGAGCTACCAGACACAGAAAGTCTCGCTCGAGCCAAGAAGTTCTCGATCGAGCGAAGAAAAACCCAGACCGCTCGAGCGAAGGAAGCTTGTTCGAGCCAAGAAAGGCAACTCTCAGGTCCAGAACCAGCAAACCCAACTCTCGCTCGAGCGACCAACTCTTCGCTCGAGCGAAGGTCCAAAATTCTGGGCAGCAACACTTGGCTCCCAAACACAACCAACCTGTAACAAACCTGCCCAACACATCCTATAACTCAAATATGAAGTAAAAGGAATGTAAACACGATAATAAACAACTACCAACATCCACGGACACATGTCCGGATCACTGTATAACAAGGGCAAACCCGGGATCGCTATAATTCATCTTTCCATATGACTAGATATCTTGTGGTTACTCTAAAATGGCAAATTGGCAAGTCCGGAAGAGGAAACCAACCTTTCTTATCACATGTCAATTGGATTTATGTGCTTTATGCTTTACATTTATGAGCAATACTCGATGTATACAATGAAGTTCCTCAGAAAAAAATTGCCCATAAAGAGCTAAGCTTGCACACACTATGCTTTTCCCCTAGCTTTCCATCCAAGAAAAGATTTTGCCACCTCTAATCCAAAGATCAAGAACAAATTTGTGAATTTTCTCCCCAATTTTCCATGGTAACCAAATAAAAAATATGGGCTTTGCTTGGTTTCATTTTCAGAATCTGTTTTCAGAAATTAAAAAAAATAATAATAATAAATAGTATGACACTATTAAACACCTAAAGGATATTTTAATTTTTAAAAAAATTTATTTTTGCCCCAAAAGATAAAACCATGTGAAGATGATGATTTTTTTTTTTTCCCCATTTTCTAAACCAAATTAATTTCAAGTTTTTTCAAGATACATGTCTAGGATCAATAAATTGACTGACCTTTAATTGGTTTCTCTATACCATTAAAAACCTTTTAATTCCTTTTCACCCAAATTATCCAAATCATGCCCAAAGAAGCCAACATCCTCACTGTCTTCCCTTTGTTCTTAGCTCTCCCCTCCCTAATTATGGAAGAGGTCTGATGAGGAACGCGCATGCGCCCATTTTGGTATTACAATTATATAACTATAATATTATGTATTTAATATGTGTGTTTATTTATTTTTAATTAGGACTTAGCAAATATTTAGCTTCTTCTTTTGTTAGGATTGATTTTTCTATTTTAAATTAGGGTGCTGGCCTTTAAATTACTGAACCTCATCTTTCCTGGTGACTTTGAACTAGGTCCCTTTTTTGGAATTTCTGGGCTGTATGTTTCTATCATTTACCAAATATGTGTACCTTGTCTATGTATTTGACATCTAGATGACATTATCTGATACGAATGTTCTTTTTAGGACATTGATGCAGTGTTGGTTTGCACGTATTGAATAACCATGATTAATTCCACATTATGTGTGGATTTTGAAAACTAATGAAAGTTTATTTAAGTTGTGTGTTAAGTGACCAAGATTATAATTTTATGGAAGGAAATAATCTAAATTGTTATTATCATCTTTGTTATGGCACAAGTGCCATTTTATAGCCAAGCATGTTGTATTTTTTTGGGTAATATCATCTTGCTGCGGTTTTTTTTTTGGTTGATTTTTTTCACCAAGTACATACATACTCTTGGTGCTAGCACTGCTCTAGATTACATTTCCGGAAACTAGGTTTAGACGGTTATTATTATGCAGGTTTTCAAACGCTAGTATAATTAAATGGAGGATATGTCCCTAGAGATGTAGTAGGATACATATAACTAGTCCTAATAGCTATGTGTAGCTCGACTTTTCATATCCCCTTTTGGAAGACGAATAAGCCCTACAGTATCGAACTCCCGCGGTTCTGAATCTGATCTCACAAGTGGAATGTGAAATAGATAAATACCAAAGAGTCTAAACCCGACAAATCTTTTAGAAAATCGATTTTGAATCAAATTGTCAAAAATAGACTACTTTGCTAGATAAATTTAGGAAACCCATGACTTATGCCAAAGGCCACATGTCCGTCATCACCAAGATTGTCTCAGCTCGGGAACTTAGGTACGAGAGCGGAAGGTCATGAATTGAGGACACTAAATTTGGTGGTTATAATAGTTAGCATTGCTTCTTTAACAGCATTGAATTGCAAATGAATTGCAGGGCCCTTTAGGATTACTTTGTCAAATGCGTATGGCCCTGGAGGCTCAGAGATCATTCATCTGAAAATGAAATTATGGAGTCTTCACTAAGTTCACACTCTTCCCTGAATTTCCGAAGTCATTTGAATGACAATACCACAATCACGTTTGCACTCATGAATTTGAAAATCTTCTACTTATTTTAAGCAATCATCCATCTTTCCATATGATTAGATATCTTGTGGTTACTCTAAAATGGCAAATTGGCAAGTCCGGAAGAGGAAACCAACCTTTCTTATCACATGTCAATTGGATTTATGTGCTTTATGCTTTACATTTATGAGCAATACTCGATGTATACAATGAAGTTCCTCAGAAAAAAATTGCCCATAAAGAGCTAAGCTTGCACACACTATGCTTTTCCCCTAGCTTTCCATCCAAGAAAAGATTTTGCCACCTCTAATCCAAAGATCAAGAACAAATTTGTGAATTTTCTCCCCAATTTTCCATGGTAACCAAATAAAAAATATGGGCTTTGCTTGGTTTCATTTTCAGAATCTGTTTTCAGAAATTAAAAAAAATAATAATAATAAATAGTATGACACTATTAAACACCTAAAGGATATTTTAATTTTTAAAAAAATTTATTTTTGCCCCAAAAGATAAAACCATGTGAAGATGATGATTTTTTTTTTTTTCCCATTTTCTAAACCAAATTAATTTCAAGTTTTTTCAAGATACACGTCTTGGATCAATAAATTGACTGACCTTTAATTGGTTTCTCCATACCATTAAAAACCTTTTAATTCCTTTTCACCCAAATTATCCAAATCATGCCCAAAGAAGCCAACATCCTCACTGCCTTCCCTTTGTTCTTAGCTCTCCCCTCCCTAATTATGCAAGAGGTCTGATGAGGAACGCACATGCGCCCATTTTGGTATTACAATTATATAACTGTAATTTTATGTATTTAATATTTGTGTTTATTTATTTTTGATTAGGACTTAATAAATATTTAGTTTCTTCTTTTGTTAGGATCTAGTTTTATATTTTAAGTTAGGGTGTTGGCCTATAAATTACCGAACCTCATCTTTCCTGGTGACTTTGAACTGGGGCCCCCTTTTGGAATTTCTGTGCTGTATGTTTTTATCATTTAGCAAATATGTATAACTTGTCTATGTATAAGACATCTAGATGACATTATCTGATCCGAATGTTCTTTTTAGGACACTGATGCAGTGTTGGTTTGTATGCATTGAATAACCATGATTAATTCTTCATTATGTATGGATTTTGAAAACTGATGAAAGTTTATTTAAGTTGTATGTTAAGTGACCAAGATTATAATTTTATGGAAGGAAATAATCTAAATTGTTATTATCATCTTTGTTATGGCACAAGTGCCATTTTATAGCCAAGCATGTTGTATTTTTTTGGGTAATATCATCTTGCTGCGGTTTTTTTTTTGGTTGATTTTTTTCACCAAGTACATACATACTCTTGGTGCTAGCACTGCTCTAGATTACATTTCCGGAAACTAGGTTTAGACGTTATTATTATGCAGGTTTTCAGATGCTGGTATAATTAAATGGAGGATATGTCCTGGGAGATGTAGCAGGATACACATAACTGGCCCTAATAGCTGTGGTCTAAGGCTTTGTTGAGTTGAGTTGAGTTGAGTTTTTAAGGTCTGGGGACTCTGATGGTGTATCATTCTTGTTAACATCTCTTGTAATTATACTGAACGTTAGTTAATTTGGAGGCTTTGGAACGAGGGCATAATTTCTTTACATCTGCGGGTGAGAATTCTTGATACTGGGACCTTTTCTCCTCCTCCTGTTTTTCTATCTGACAAATTTGTGTTTTCAAAAGGAACCCATCTTTTATACTCTGGAAATGCAAGTCTGTTTTGTCCACTTTCTCCATCCCAAAGTTTTTTTTTTTTTAAATTTTTTTAAGAGATTTACATACTTTTTCTTGTGTATTTTTGTTGAGCCTTTTTACTGTGTGGTAACATGGCTTTGGTTGCATACAAAACTTAATTTTCTGCCTTTCTTATTTTTCTAATGCCATGTTGCAGATTAGTTTTGGAAACTTTGGTTACTTAGGACACTAAATTTGGTGGTTATAATAGTTAGTATTGCTTCTTTATCAACATTGAATTGCAAATGGTATTGCAGTGCCCTTTAGGTAATTTGAACAACTGACGAACAGATTTGAGTCTGAAGTTCGGTGTGCTCATCAAGTTTCATTATAGTCATCTGCTCCGGTTGCGGTGTCTTATATGTTGGCATTTATATTGGGAGAGCAAACTTTAGGGTACGTTGTTAATAAAGCTGCAGAATTATCTTAGGACGTTGTTTTGTGGAATTTAATTTTTTTCAGAGGACTCAATTTTGTTGTAAAAACATTGTAGTTTTATATGAGGATTGTGTGAAGCCTTAGAATCTTGAGATTCTTTATTATTGGTGTTAAATTTGTGGCATACTGAGTATAGTTGGTATTTAGTGGCATCTTTGATAAGAAATGACTGGTACAATTTATATCTTATTTTAGTTTCTAATACACTTGGGAGATTCCATGGCTTCCAAAACTTATGCTCTTTGTTCTCCATCTTGGAAGTTTGATTACTTTTGCTTTAATGAGTGGGGGAACTAATATGGGGCTCACTTATAAATTAACTGATTCAGTGTTATTGTGCTGCAAAGAGGTCACTGCAGGATAGTTCTTGGTGATTAGCCCACGGGTGGTTATTATGTACTGTTGGAGATCATTATCTAGTGAAGCTGGAGTTTTAAGGAGATATTATGACATGAAAATCCCATTTATACAATAGTCAGATTTGCGGTTGACCCAATAACATGCTCTAGGTTGGGAATCTTTACTGCAACATGAGCTTGTGTAAAAGAACTTGGTCTTTCTGATGATTGGCAACGGTCATGTAGTTCAAATTGACAGAGTGCTAGGTGATGATTCATTGCATTCAGTCTATTGATGATTCATGTAGCAGTGCTTGAAAGCTTTTGATTAGTGTTATCAGAAAATGTTAATACCCTAGCAAATTACGTTTTGAAACACACATTTTGAAATATGGTACACACTCATTTCAAAATGATAAATTTAGCGATCTAAAACGTTTTCAAAAGTTTTTCCAATATATTTCCTTACAACTTTTCTTATCAAATATAATCAACTAAAATATAAGGTGAGTGAAGTTTTGATTGGACAAAACGTGAAAATGGGTCATAATGCTTATATAGAAATGTGGTATTAATCGGAAATTATTTTAGAAGTATGTTAAATTATTAAGATGTTGGGGCTTCTAATATTTTCTAAAAATTTGTGTTTGAGATGATTTATGAATTTTTTTTGTAATTGAACAGATCTTGTGAGAGAAAAAAGTAATTGATTAGTGTGTAGAATGTGACATTTTGTCTTATTGACATTTTAATATATATGGGTGATTCTATTTATATCATTATTTTACTTCTTTACATCTTCCATATGAGTTTTTTTTTCTTCCCAATTTTATACATGTGTGAAATTATCTTTAAGGACAAAATACTAAAATTAAATATATTTTGTTATCTTCTTACACCCCTTGGTCTTCAATTCCTACTCCTCTTTTTCCTTTCTTAATTTTTCTTTTCTCTTACACATCTCTTTTCAAAAAGTGAGAATCATAGTATTTTAATCATTAAAGAAAGCAATAGATGAAGAAACGGTGGTGAAGAATAATAAAAAAAGTGAAATTGTGAGTTTTTTTATTTATTTGGTAAGTTTTTGTTTCGTTTTTCTAGATTGGTGTTCGACTTTCGTTTGGTGGTTCGAAATCGAGCAAAATAAAATAGTCCAATATCACATTATTGAACAAAAAATATAAGTTTGGTAACTAACTACCGAATAAAATATACATTTTCGATAATCCCAAACTGAATTTTTTTAATTTGGTCGGCTTCTCATTATCATATATTTTCAGTTTCATTTTTTTTATATTTTTTATTTTTTTACCTAGAAGGATTATACTTATATTCATTGCAACAACGCAAGCACTGCAATATTAGTAGACTCTAGTCATGAATTCATTACAGACAAGTTTATTACGCTTTTTTTTTATGAATACGATTTTTTCTTATTTTTAATTTGTATTGAGTTTTATTAATAATTTGACATATAAATGTATTTATTATCTTTAGATTTTTAGTAGTCGTGAAATATTAATTAAATGGGCTTCTGACGTTGGGAAGAAAACTGGATTTGTCATTGTTATAAAGACATCAGATGCGAGAGGCAATGACTGGAAATCAAGACTTACTTGCTTGTAAAAGAAGTGGTTACTATAGAAACAACATGAAGATCAAGGGGAATGATTGAGGTTGAAATGTTCTAAAAAGTGTGGATGTCTATTTCTATCAAGGGACAGAAAATTGCCTACAAATTACCAAGACGAATTATGATAACATGTTTGATTGATGAATGCAAATAAAGACAGATTTTATATATGGATATTCGTACACTTGATGTTTTTATGAATAATTTTATGGATACTTTTTATGTATAATTTTATGGATGCGTGTTTGATTTATGAATTTTTTTATGGATGTTTCAAGGAAAAAGTAAATCTTTCAATGTACAGCGACGAGGGCCTAAACAACTCTATTGTAGTTTGGCAACATGACACGAGTAATCTCATTTGTATAACAATGTATCGATGAACATGCACTTCACAAGTGGCTCAAATTAATTTCTTGTTATCATCTAATTGGACGGCAACATAATGCTGGGAAAAAAAATATTTTTCGGTAAGATGGCACTAGAGTAATCCAAATTAATTAGCGTTGTATTACTGAACAGGCCCATCATAAATTAAAAAATCATTGCTTGGAAGAAAGTGTCTCTGTAAATGTATAGTAACAAAATGCTGGAGAGATCTATTTTTTCCGACAGCATAACACTGGAATAATATAAATTGTTTAGCACCCTGGTACCAAAATTAGTTGTGTAAAAAGATGAAATAGTTAATTTAGGGTTAGTTTTGGTAATACATTGGGGGTATAATGAGAATTACATTTTTTTTTAGTGGTGTAATAAGATGGAGGGTGTAAAGAGGTTAAATAATGGTGTAAGCAGAATCACCCAATATATATATATATATATATATTATATTTATTGACTATTTTAGCCAATTTAGCTCATCCCAAACACCAAACAAGATTGGATAACAAACAAGTTGTTATTTATAGGCTATGTTTGGGAACAAGGGTTGAGGCTAAAATAATTAATAAAGACAAAAAAGATTAAAATAGTTAAAAGACAAAATGTCACATTCTACACATTAATTAATTAATTTTTTATAATTTATTTTTTTATTTGTCTCACAACCATCTATTTAACTATAAAAAAAATTCACAAATCATCCCAAACAAACACAATTTTTTTTCATCTCATAAAATAATCGAAAAGTCAACTAAAATAGCCATTTGTTCCAAAACTTTAAGATGTGTTTAGTTCATAAATTTAGGTACAGATTTATAAAGAAAAAAGAAAAATAAAAAGATGAGTAATCACACACCTTTTATAACTTTTTATCTTTTATTCTTTAAATTAAGGAACCAAACACAACCTAAAAGGTCTAATATCCATACCTCCATTTTTTGGAGTACAGACAGAATTCCCAATTGACTTTTGCCCCCGGGAAGTGATTGAGACCCCCTCTAATCACCACCCCCACACACACGTGGCGGGTGGTGATTGAAGGAGAAGGAAAAAAAGAAAAAGAAAAAAGAAAAACTGGCCAATCAGAAAGAGAGGGGGTCAAAGGGAGTGCCTCCTTGAGGGGTCCAACTCATTTTCCTTTGCCCCCCACTATGCTTCAAATCTGTTCCAGACCAGAGTGAAAGCTCTAACCACACTTTCAATGTCTTTAAGCACCGTAGCAAGTAAAATGAATAAAAAGCTCCAATAACATTAAAATGAATAAATAAGTAAAATACTTTTTGAATTAGGGTTATTATCTGACAACCTGTTTGGTCAGAGAGCGTTTCATTAGAAAATAGAACCCAGAAACTAGTAGCAGATTAGATAATGGTTTTCTTTTTCCAAAAAGTGCTTCATTGAGGCATTTAGGGATTTTCTTTCTTATTATATCATAACCAACACTAGAGTTGCATTATGAGCTAAAGCATGATTTTAGAATCAAAAGTCGGTACCGCCATCGTCGATTTAACGGCTATTTTTCAGCTCCTTCATCACAGCCTTCGGAGACCACTGATGCCGCCAAAGGCTTGAAGAAGAAGAAGATCTAAAGCTCACCTACGACTTTCTGCACCATCACCTTCACGTTGTATTCTCGCCATCACCAATCCAACATCAACATCTACAGATTTGTAGATTCGCCTATCTTAACCCTAGATCTAGACCACCGCTGTGGTCTGGCAGAGAATATAAAGATGAAGATGAAAAGTCCGATGATGATATGGTTTTATACGGTCAAAGAGATTGGGTGTGGATCCATAATTGGTCGAGAAGGAAAAGGAGAATTGGAGATTTGGTTCTATACTATATGTGTGTGTTTGTATATATATATTTCTCTACTTACATGTGTATCGGTTGCATGTGAATATATATATATATATATATGTTTCAAAGTTCTATGTTTGTTGATTGTTGATTTTGATGTTATTTTCTCTTTGGTTCCCAAGAGAATGAGGGAAAAGTTGAGAAATTAATCATTTGAACATCAAAGCAACAATGAGAATAAGACTATATTTGGTTTTCTTCTTGTGTTTTTGTATTTTTCTCAGCAACCAAACACGTAGGGTTATCAATACATGACGCTTAGTGTGATTCAAAGTCGATATTCTACTTAGATCATAGTGTATGAGTGATTTTCTGATCACACTGCTCGTTTAGTAATCAGCTAGAGAGCACCGGCAAAATAGATGGCTTCAGCTAACCTGTAACAGAAAGAGAAGGCTCCGGCGGTGGTTCTTCCACCCGGGAGCACTCCGACGATCAAGTCAGTATATCTCTCAGAGATAATCAATAATGCTAAACTTAATGCTCAAAGCATAAATTGCGTACCTTAGACCCACGGGGGTGCCTCTCTTTTATAGTTACCTCCATCCAAATCCCATTTAGAAGCCTGACTTCTATAGATTCTTATTATGTACATACTTTGGACTCCTCAAAAGATAAAGATAAACTCTCTAAGAGTTTTATCCTTATCTTGGCTAAGTCTCCTCTTTATTCTAGGACTCTTGTCCCTTATCCTTTATCCAATTATCTCGGATTCTGATATCTTCGGAGATAACCTCGGCTTACCCGAGATCACCTCGGCGTCATGACCCTGACACGTGGCACCTCGGCTGACACGTCGGCGTCACCTTGCCGCGTGTCAGTACTGAAAAATATATCCCCACAACTGCCCCCTAGGTTCTATTATCTCGGTATTCTGAGGTGATGGAACCTATATCATTCCGTTTTCTCAGTATGTCGGTTTTCAGTATCTCAGGCGAGATCATTATTTCGGCCGACATGTCTTTGTTGAAGAACAAGAACTTCATGAATCCTTTCACGCGTATGAGCTGTCATACACCATAATTCAACCGTTTTTAGCCACGCGTTTCTTTCTTATTAGTTCGTACCTGTGACGCGCCCGTAAGCCGTCTCTCTCTCACGTGCGCTGTCTGACGCATACGTTCTTCTAGGCATATTGATTACTTTTTGCCGCCGTTTTCATTTTTAATAAAACATTTTCTTTGATTTCTCCCTTTCACCTTATTCTTATTTCTGGAAAACTTTTTCTTTCTCTAGCTTTTCTCTTTTTGAGTCTGCCATTGTTCAAGCTTTTTTGCTCCGAAACTTATTCCGTTCACCCTTTCCGGCGTGTTTTGCATCATTTCGTTGCCTTCACGACCGTCATCTGATTTCGGCGATCTTTACATCGGCTTCATATTTTCTGGTAAGCAATCTGTTTATTCTTATTCCCGGTTTCTTGAGTTTTTCTGGAATTTCTTATTTACTACTGCCTTGCTCAAACAATTAATTTGTGAATCATACATCTGAATGCGTTGATTAGCTTTTTGTTTATGCCTTAAATACATGTACTGTTCATAGTTTTCTT